TATATATATATATATTTACATACATGATTCTCACAAGTCACAAGGACATCGTTTGAGAGACCGAATCTTGGCAGTTATGCTTGCTTCTTGGACTGTCAATCAATAAAACCTCTAAAAATTTGACCACTATTTTCATGATCCCCTGCCCTTCCATTTGGACAGAGAGACCACTACTTTCTCTCTAAAAAATTAACTTATTAAAACATATAACGTCCACATTTATAAATCTAAAACCCCTTCCTCACCGACACGAGATATGATAATATTAATACTAATCTAAAAATGAGATGAAGGATCACTAAAAACTCAAAGAGAGATCAGTGATTAAGTATGTGTTGATATTCCCCTGCTTCAATCTTTGGCAGTTACCAGTTAGTGTTGTTGACTGGAAAGTACAAAAGGTGTGAGGCTTGCTGGGGGTGGGGCGCAGAGATACAAATTCCCTTCCAGTTTGAAGTACAATTTGACAGGCTATTTCTGCTCTAAGGACTAAGGTTGGCACTGCCACGCCAAAGTTGTGTACTTGTGTTCAAGTGGCTTTAATGTGCCATGCATGAGTTGGCAAAGATAATGTTTATTGTATTTTAATAAATTATCTTAGCAATTATTAAATAATAGATAAATATGGTATTTAGTTTTGTTTTTGATTTCTTTTTTGAGGAACTAATAATTATAGATAATAATAATACATAAAGAGTTTGATGGTATTTATTTATATTAATTTTGGGATTTTTTTTATATTTTATTTGTATTTATTAGTAATTTCCTCCTTTTATTGTTTAATAATAATAAATAAAGTATTTAAATATTTAACCAAGAAGGGACCTCTAAGGGTCTAAACCTTTAAACCCCACAGTCTAAAGCCCTGCAGGCTTGTAGTTACGGCCCTCTCTAAGCCGCTAAAAATGTCATCTCTAACTCGCCTCCTCCGCCGCACCTTCTCCACGGCCTCAACCGCACAGCCCGACTCCGTCCGGAAACTCGCCGTTGACCTCTACAAAGAACGCAACCTCAAGCGTGTCGTCGAAAAGTTCAAAAAGTCTTGTGAGAATGGCCGTTTCCGCAGCCAAACCGGCATCTACGAAGGGACGGTTCGCCGCCTTGCTTCGGCTGGACGATTCCGATGGATCGAAGAAATCCTCGAGGAGCAAAAGAAATACAAAGACATTTCCAAAGAAGGCTTTGCTGCTAGGTTGATCCATTTGTATGGGAAATCCGGTATGTTTGAGCAAGCTTACAAGGTGTTTGATGAAATGCCGAATAGAGGGTTGTTGTCTTTCAATGCCCTTATAGGAGCTTGCGTGAATGCGAAAAAGTTTGATAAGGTTAATGGGTTTTTCAAGGAGTTGCCTGAGAAGTTGTCAATTGAGCCAGATTTGGTTTCTTATAATACGGTTATTAAGGCCTTTTGTGAGATGGGTTCTTTGGATTCTGCTAGTTTGATGCTTGATGAGATGGAGAAGAAGGGTGTTAAGCCGGACTTGATTACTTTTAACACGCTTTTAAATGGGTTGTTTAAGAATGGAAAGTTTGTTGATGGGGAGAAGATATGGGGTAAAATGGTGGAGAACAATGTGGAGCCTGATATTAGGAGTTATAATTCTAAGTTGCTTGGATTGGTTACAGAGAAGAGAATGGAAGAGGCGGTTAAGTTTGTTGAAGAAATGAGGAGTCAAGGAGTTAAACCTGATGTGTTTACTTTCAATCATATGATTAGAGGGTATGTTAATGAGGAGAAACTGGAAGAAGCTAAAGGGTGGTATAGTCAAATAGGGAAAAATGATTGTGCACCGGATAAGCTAACTTTTACAATGCTAGTTCCTTTCCTTTGTGAGAAGGGTGATTTGGGGTTTGCCATGGAGGTGTGCAAGGAGATCTTTTTAAGGAAGAGATTGGTTGGTGATGCATTGTTGCAGCGTGTGGCGGACGAATTGGTCAAAGCCTCCAAGATTGAAGATGCAACGGAGCTTGTGAAGCTTGGGAAGGCAAATAATTTCTGTCGTTATAAGCTGAATATGCCTACAGAGTAGTGCTATGGTTTTACCAATGGTATTATGTTTTAATTTTAGATCCTTTAGGTACTGAATGAGTATCCAAAGCAAGGAGTTTTTCACAACTTGCAAGGTTGGATAACTGCTCAAGGTTTAGTGGGAACCATTTAGATTAGTGCTGGAGAATGGGATGCTTTGTTTTGGTTGTTAATTTATGCCTTTTCATTTATCATGTGCATGTTACCCTTGGCCTTCTGTGTCTAGCCTCAGAGTTACATGATGAATTGTATTTTATCAAGTTCTCTCGGCTTTTCATCTGTGCACAGCAACCCTTCCATAGGTTGTGTAAAAGAGTTTTCAAAAGCTGAATCTTTTGAGTTACTTGTGTGATACTCGATGGTTCTTCTCCAGGGCATGTGCAGTACCGATGAGTTGATGAATGCCGACATTCCATGTATGGGTGTGATAGTGTGATGACCAGGCAAGACTAAAATGGGAATCTGATCTACTTTTGTAGTTCTGTTATACTCTACTGTACCCTCCACATATAGGATTGTTTTTCGTTTTGCTGTTCGGTTTCATTTTGAAGTTTGGTAGCTCAGCAGTATGCACTACACCTTCTAATCCGAAGGACCTTCACCTACTCTTGACTCCATTTAAACACTAGCAGCAACTGAAAGATTGAATTATGCATCAAATTCGCAGATAGAATATTGTCATTGGCAGCTGAAATCTATCCATTTCCATAATAATTCTGTAATTTGTATGATGTGCTTCATATATCAATCTATTAAGAGTATTTTTTAACTATACATTGTTAGTAAATCTTAAAAAGATGGAAGACGTATTCATATTAAGTTGGGTTTAAATATTAAGCTTAAAATTTTAAAAGTTGCATATATAATAACACCCTTGGACGGCTCAGCTGAGAGACAGAATACTTTAACCCTAAAAACTCAGGAAACGGAAACGAGCAAAGCAATGGAAGCCTCATCCGTCCGCCGTCTCGTTGGCCTCTTCACAACTTCAACCAACCGTACCACCAGCACCGCCCTAACCTCCGCTAAACCTTCCTCCAAAGCCACGATGAAAGAACGCAAGCTCCAAGGACTCGTCAACAAATTCAAGCAATCCTCCGAGTCCGATGACTTCCGCTACAAGAGCCATCGCAGCTACGACCGCACCGTTCGCCGCCTCGCGTTCGCAAAACAGTTCTCACTTATCGACGACATCCTCCAGCACCAAAAGAAGTACCAAGATATCTCCCAGGAAGGCTTCGTCATCCGCTTAATGACTCTCTATGGGAAAGCAGGCATGTTCGAACATGCCCAGAAACTGTTCGATGAGATGCCTGAACTAAAATGTGACCGTACGGTAAAGTCATTTAATGCCCTTTTATCAGCGTGTATTTATTCGGAGAAGTTCGGTAACGTCGAAAAGTTGTTGAAACTACCTGAAAAGCTCGGAATCGAGCCTGATTTGGTTTCTTATAACACAGTTATCAAGGCCTTCTGTGAGATGGGTTCTTTGGATTCAGCATTGTCGGTGCTTGATACATTGGAGAAAAAGGGATTAGAGCCTGATGTAATTACGTTTAACACGCTGCTTGATGGATTGTTTTCGAAGGGTCGGATTGCTGATGGAGAGAAAATATGGGGATTAATGGAAGAGAAGAATGTTGTTCCTAATGTTAGGACTTATAATTCAAAGTTAAGAGGACTGGTTTATGAGAAGGAGATTGTGAAAGCTGTTGAGCTGTGGGAGGAAATGGAGACTAAAGGAATCAACCCTGATGTTTACAGTTACAATGCTATGATTAAAGGGTATTGCAATGCTGGGAATATAGAGCAAGTGAAGAAGTGGCACAATGAACTGAAGAAAAGCGGTATTTCGCCTGATCGAGTTACTTACGTTACGCTTGTTTCATTCCTCTGTCAGAAGTCTGAGTTTGAAATGGCAGTTGAGCTTTGCAAGGAGTCTATGGATCGACGGGTCACTGCTAGGCCTGCAATGTTCCAGACCGTGATAGATGGATTGGTTAAAGAGTCCAGGATTGATGAAGCTATACAACTCGTGGAATTAGGCAAGTCAAGATTACATTATAAACTGAAACTGCATTGAGTTAAGAGTACGAATGCAGGAGAGTTACATGCTCGTTCTAGTTTATCCTGTATCATCGATTGCCATTTCATTAGGACATTTTTACTTGATTTGAACCTCATTTGCCTTTGGTGATGTGTCTGTACTTACGAATCCATGGATCTGGGTGAGACCCATGTGGTCGAATTTTAAACTTGAAGTTGGGTTGGTGCGAGATGGAAACCAAGACCATTGACAGAAATAGGACGGCCTTCTATCTGTCTTAACCCAAAGCGTAGGTTTGGGCTTTCCACTCTGTACTAATCAAACCACAATTTTAGCCCACTGGTATTATTTTCACGATTGCTTTGTCCGCTCCGCACTGTATTTATGCTAGTGTATCTTATGCATGAAACGCATGTTTTGAGATACCTTCAACAATCATTTTTCCCAAAAGCCATAGATGATAGATATGAGCCGTATAAGGTTGACTAGATAGGCAAAAGGTAATGCCAAGAATTTCCCTCCCGAGATCCCATTTTGCCTCTTTTAAATAATATGCATGAATTCAAGATCATGGTTAGATATATGGTGACATGTTTTAGTACGTAATTTCCATGCATATATTCAAAATCCCATGACTAACATGTGTATTCAACTTCAACCATTATGCCCCTGCCTTGCAGTCAATTCTAACATTGACTCTCAGTGGCCTTAACCCCCAAAGGTTGTTGGTAAAAAATGGTTGTAACAATATACACCTAACTAGACCAAAGGGGAAAGAAAATGCATGCATGTTCAGCGGCAGCACACACCAGTTCTTGTTCGGATTGGATCTTTCCCCTAATATCTTTCCAATTGCGTGAGTTTTTGAAAGAGAATTTCAACGTTTTAGCCGACAAATTTGAAACACGATCAAAGCAACGACTATCACAACGTTTCCGCACTTGTGAGGAAACTCCCAGCTACTGAAGCATGGAATGTCTTGCGATCTTTGACCGTGTGGCTGATTTTCTGCTCCTGAATTGATGGGTATTGTGCCAACTTGAATGTCTGTTAAAATTTCTGTGGTTTCTCCGAAGGAGGGAAGGGTTCCCGTTTTTGTTCCTCTGCCATGACTTGATGTGTTTTGTATAGACAAGATTGTGCATGTCATAATCATAGGGAGTGCATAGGTGTTTGATGGGTGATCATGAGAGAGAGTTGCGGAATGCACATACTTTTTGTGACCAGGTACAGCCCACAGATCACTAATTCCTTTCCGATCTCTAAGGGGATTTTTCCATCCTCTTTTGCAATGAAGCTTCAATCTTAAATATATATATATATATTTGGCGCACATAACATTGGTCAAGTTCATGATGCCTTGCCACATATCAAGTTTGCTTGATGCTGTCTTCTTGCTTTCTTTAAACCAATGTTTGTTGGAAAATGAGTGCAAGGAGAAAGGTGTAAAAAAAAAAAAAAGAAAAAAAGAAAAAAGGGAAAGTGGAAATTATTTTAAAATAAAAATGGTAGATTTCATTTAAAAAAACACCAAGTTTATCTGATTACAAAAGAAGGATGAACAGCCATGACTGTGAATGGCTCATCCATATCCTACTGTTTACAAAAACTTTCCAATACTAATACTCAAGCCCACTATACAAAGAGCAAAAAAAACAAGAGTAAATATTTATAAATGAATTAAATTCTATGTTTATAAATTAATTTTATTTGTTGAGTAAAATAAAAGTACTTAAATGTTTATATGTTAATTAAATTAACTAATTAATTAATTTATTTAGAAAATAAATTAATTTAATTCTTTAAAATTGAACTAATTTATTAAAAATAAATATTTAATAATTTTACATTTTTTAATATTATTTTTGTTATACTATTATTTATTATTTTAAAGAATAAATTTAAAAATTTAAAAATTATATTAAAAGGAATATAAATTTATTCAATTATATATTTTTATATATAAACGTAATTTTATAAATTTATATTATATTTTTAATAAAATAATTTAAAACAAAATACTATAATATAATTTTTTTAATAATAATATTTTTTATAATCATCATTAATTTATATTACACTAAATATTATAAAATTATTTTTTAATAATCACATTTTCAATAATCATATTTTATACAAAATACCAAACGGGATCTAAGAACACGTCATGTCTTGTCCCAAGTCGAGTTTGGCCTGTACCAGCAGTATTTTCCATGTGATTTGTTTTCTTGCAATATGAGCAAGGAGGGAAGTCTCTTTTCTGCTCTCCCTGCTTCTTGTCACCATGTTTCTTCCCTTTTTCTTTTCTATCATTTCAAGATTTCTTCTGACTGCCATTTTTTGCTTTTTTATTAGCATACCTGGTAACAAAGGCTCCCTCAACATGAATATCTTGCCTCAGTGCCCTTCTTGATTCTTAAGCTTGAAGGGCATTCAACAACCCAGTCACAGAAATGGCCCCCAAATCCTTAGAATCCTCCAAAGAAGAGATATTCCCTTCAAATTTCTCTGGCAAGCTAACTAGCAGTTTATTCATTATCCTTTTCTCAGACACATTCTCATCCAAAAGCCTTAGTCTATTCACAACTTTAAGAACCCTTTCACAATAACCTTGGACTAGTTCATCATCTCCCATTCTTAAAAGTTCAAACTCCCTCCAAAGATTCAGAGCTTGAATCTGTCTAGTCCTATCACTCACGTTAAATTTTTCTTTCAATTTATCTCAAGCTTCCTTAAGGGCTTCACAGTTTATGATTCTAGTAAAAATGGAATTTGAGATAACAAAATGAATACGTGAAAGGGCCTTGAACGTTTTAGCAACCTCCTTGTTATGTTGCTTAAGCTGAGCTACCGTTGGATAAGCAACTCTCAACACAGGGGATCTCCACCAGATTCAATGATCTCCCACAAGTCATATGCTGTAAGGTAAGCTTCCATCTTGATTGCCCAGATAAGATAATTTTGACCTGAAAAGATTGGGGGAGCAACAACGCTGAAGCTTGAAGATGCCATTGAAGCGATAGATAGAACAGAAGAAGTAACAACGGTGAGATGAGGCCCAAAACAGAAATAACTCCACACTAATAATAAAGGAATAAAACTGTTAACAATGGAGAAAAATCAAAGAAGAAGAAGAGAGAATTTTCTGAAAAGAAGACAAATGTTTTTAAGGGTAACAAGGCCTTCTACGTGAAGGCTGTATTGCAAAGATGGAAACGACATCGTAGCAAGCAACGACTTGCATAGAAAACATAAAAGAAACAAACCAGCACAGCTGCCAGCATATCACATATCCTTATGCTCAACAAACCAGTAGTTTGGAGCCACATGGTCATTCACACAGAACAAGGCAGAAGAAAATAAGAAAAAATAAACTCTGCTGAAATATAGAAAATAGAAAGAAAGGCTGGACAAACATGTGAGTAGTTCGCCTCAGCCTAAAACTAAAACAATCACGTGACAAGTACAAGCCTAGTCACTTTACCAAGTTTGAATGCCCCTTCGTGCAATATCCTGCAAATCAGTCCTCCATCTCAACACCTTCCACAAACAATGTTTACAACTTGAATTGGTAACATAGAGCTAAACCTTTAAAAGGTTTTAGCTGTTTGGTAGTTACAGATAATTGTTGCGTAAAATTGCCCAACTTGAAATTAATCTTCATCCACACGAAACGTTGGTATATGTATATGTGACATGATAGAGTTGTTAGGCAGACGTCGTGTCTTTCATGGGTACACTTTCATAGAGCAGGGACTTCATGAATCCGCCAGGCTTGGAAGGCATGGTTTTCATCGTAACTGTACATCAGAGGGCCATTCTCGCAATGTTTTGAGAAGCCCTGGCGAAAGGCAACGAAAATGGATTTCGAGAGAGGCATTCGTGGTTCAGGCGCTTCCAAGCGTTAGAAATCATATGTGGAACATGCTCCCAACACTTTCAAAACCTTCAACCGCCTTTGGTGCTCCTTCATTTGTTGCACTCAACACAGGATCCATTCTCCCATCCTGATTCTCATCCTACAATAAAATGTAACATGTTTAACAAACAAGAGTTGACACTTTGATTAATTGCATGTGGATTTCCAGCTGAGGTTCTACCTTGGCACTTCCCAAGTCATCCCAGAGTCGAAGGATGCTTGCAGTAGATGATATGATGCCAGGATTGTTGTCAATGAGTTCCACGTTTTTATTATTTAAGCCTTGGCCAAGGAGGAAAAAGACGTGAACCAGGATTATATGTACTCCTGAGCTAGTGTTGCCATTCTCCAAGTACTCCTTCGCCTGAGGCAACTCCCCTGAGGCAACTCCCCTGAAGCAAACCATCGTGCTTCGACCAAGAATGCTCTACACAAAGTGGCCCACTGCAATATATATCCAACATCCACTACTTAATTATAAGTCATAAAGGTATGAAAGAGAAGTTTTCACCCAAAATGATATGCATGCCATGGATATTATAAAAAATTCTTTTTAGGATAAATTTTTTATTTTTTCGAGTGACGAAATCATATTAAAATTTGATTATCATATTCAAAATATACTTTTCTGGTCAAGATAACCTTTTCTTGTAGCCTTTTTTAGCATCATAAATAATAAGTAAACATTCTTTTCCTTGGATTAACTGGATTTAGATATAATCAAACCCCACGTACCGCCTTCCTTAAGGAGTTGACAGGGTTCCACCCGTGCTTCTTGTACACCTTGTGGCTAACTTCATCAGTGATATCGTCGAGAGCTTTGAAGCAAATTTTCATGTAATTTGGTAGTTGATCAGTAGCAGCGTAATCCCACCTATATGCAAGTTAATTATGAAAAAATTTGTGAGTTTAATGCTACTAAAAAAGAAAAAAAATTTGTATGTGCCTGATAGTTATGGTAATTCTGATGCATTACCTATCAACAGCTTGCGTGAAGAGAGTGAGCTCATCGAGTGTCCCATAAATATCGAAAATATCATCGATGATGTATATTAAGGAAATGGATTTTGTCAGATCAATCCGTTGCTCTGACAAGCTTGGATCAGTCAGGGAAGCCATGGACCAAATGTACCATTTCAGTAGTTGGTCTCTTGCAAGCTCCAACTCCTTAGTTAAACCCAGGCCCTTCCACCAACTAAACAATTCATCAATCATGCAAGCAAATTAGAGTTAGGGGATAAAAAAGGAGCAAGAAAGGCTTTTGGTTTGTGTTGATTCTAATATAAATCTTACTTGGAAAAGCGAACGACTTCTGTCTGATGTAAAGATTGGACTATATTGAAATCCATTTTAGCTAGTTCTTGGAGGACATTTATCCATCCATTTGTGCCTTGGAAATTAGTTAGCAAGTTTCTGGCTGTGAATCTTGATAGGCTTTTATGATAAGGTTGGTCCAGCGTAGTTTTTATAACTCTTCCAGAGAACTGGTCCAGTTCTCTACTTTGCCATGTTTTTAGGGCCTGCGAACTGAATTCTCTGGCTCCATCAAGAATATCTTCTCCCTCTACGCCTAGT